ATTATTATTTTTTTTTCTTCGACGTGTTTGCCAAGGAGAGGGTACTTTTGCTATAGGAAGTTGAGCAATGTAGGATGGCGTATGCAGCATCATGTTAAAACAGTGAACTATGGTTTCATAATATGCTATTATCTTTCATTGAAGAGATAATTGTCTCGTGCGACAGGAGAAATTCAGTATTAAGGAAATGTGCTTGTAATGTTAACCTAAAAGATGTTATATTTCTCATCAAGAAAGAGGAATTACAGGGTGGTAATATATTGTGATTCAGTTGTTATAACAAAACAAGTTACTTCAAAAGATTTATGAAAGGTAACTATTTTGATAAAGAAGTAAAATTATGAAAGGTTTCTATGAAGGAGGGAAGTAGGGGGAGAAGATTTGTATGAGAGAGATGCAATGAATGAATTAATTGTATTGCATTATCGATTTTTATTTTTTTTTGTTCTTGTTTGGAAAACTGGGTGCATGTTGCGTGAGTGAATTCTGGGCGTGATGACGGTGCTGGAAGAATAGGGAAATTTGCGAAAGCGGGCGTATATTCCGGTAGGCGCCGCTCCTGCTCATAGGCGCGTGCTACCTGCGGGCAGAGGCGGCGTGGCGCGGCGTGTCGGGGCGTGGCGGGGCGCGGACGGCGACACCCGACGCCCGGGACGTGCCGGCGCGCCCGCCATCCACCTTACGCCTAATGAATGGGCGGCGCATTAGCGCAAAGCCATAACGGCGGCTGCGCGGGGCGCGGAGCGGCGGGGACGGGGCGCGTCTTCTCACGGCCTTTTCCGCCTCCGCCTCCGCCGCCACCCCGGCGCGGGGGCTGATCCGCGCGCAAACAGGAGAAGTCAGACGCGGGATCCAATTCTCGCTAATGAAGCGGGCGGGCGCGCGGACGGGGCGGGACGGGGCACGCTGTTTGCAGCGCGGCTTAGGCCCCGCGCCGGCGAGGGCGGGGGCGGCGGGACCCCGGCCCCGTGGCGGCGCCGCTAACGAACGTTGCCGCCTATTTCTTATTAATTCGAGCGAGCCGCCGCGTGCGTCGGCTGCCCCGGGCGGCGGGCGCGGGCAATTGGTGGGTAATTGGCGTTTGCGAGCGGCCCCTCGCCGTGTGGGGCGCCCTCGTTGCAGGTCCATCCCTTCGATTGTGCGACGAAGCTCACATTGCTTTAAAGCCCAAGGCTGTAGTAAATGGTATGAATATTGTTTACAAACATTAACAAAACCACTTGTAGGTGTGTCAACTCCGTACGATCCTGATCTTTGGATTTGGTCAATAGCTTATTGATTGTGGACATTGAGGTTTCTAATGTAATCACTGTTTCCTTTTGGAATCATATCGGATTTCTGCGAGTGGGCTTCCTTTTTAGCGTGATACGTTCTGGAGTTAGGTACGATTACCGCGGTGACCCTGCTTATCTGGGCTCGGTCAGTAGTTTGACCTTCCCAGCTTGCTTTTCCTTTCGTATCTCCCTTTCTGGACCCCGAGCTTTAATTACACTCGTATGGTCAATACTACTTGCATGGTCTGTTCAGTAAAAGTTGCTATACTTACTTTTACGTCGCAACCTCAAAATCGTCAGAAAATGAATCACGTCTGTTTCAGTAAAGGCTATGTGAATAAACACTGCAATATTACATAATTTTTGACAATTTTTTGACAAATAATTACATAATGAGATAAGGAAAAGAAATGGGCCCGTCGCTCTTTGTCGTATTTCCCCATGTAATCATTCGCGAAAATTGAGTCTTATTAAATCCAGTAACTAATTTGTTTAATTTTGATTTTCTTCTGGAACAGTGTAGTTCCAGAGTTGAGGAGCGTTCTTAGGAAGTAGAAAATGTACAAAATATTGGTGGGGCTCGTGATGGATGTCGTTGCTAACTTTCGGTGCGCCTCTCCGCCTACTCGCACCCTCTTCGGAGGACGACCTCGGCCTTCGCGCTCGTCTCTCGCGTTGCCGCCGCCGCCGCCTCCTCTCCGGGTTTCTCCGCGCGCACCCCGCCCCGCCCCGCGCCCACTCGCGCCGGCGGCAGCGGGGTGGCAAGTCGGGAGCGGCGTTTCCGCGTCTGCGCCGCTCGAGTGGTCACGCGCGCGCTGCCGCGCTGCGGGGTCGCCGACCGCCCGTCCCCCTGGGCGGAGCAGGCGCGCGTTTCGGCTCCGCTCTCCTCCAGTTCTCTGGGCGAGCGACTGCTTCCGAGAAGCGACAATTGTTTTCGGCAATTTCGTGTAAAGCTCGCGGAAGTAAACATGGCTCTTTGCGTTCCTTCGAAATGCTCCCAAAATCCCAAGACGCCAGCGAGCTTTGTAGCATATTCATTTTACTTTATACGTTTTATTACATTACATTGGCTGTGTTAAGGTATTTCGTTTCAAATATATTCGTGAATTGGCATAATGCTTGATTACTTGTAACTTGCATTAATAATGAGTTGATAAAGGGAGGTAAAAAGTGTAATCCCGAATAGTTTTGGGTGAGTTGACAGGTACGATTTACCCGTAGTTACGTGCTTAACTTCGTTATTGTTGCAAGACATGAAAGAAGCTGAAAAGTTGAAAATCGAATTCCGATTCAGCCTCAAGTGATGTGAAAAAATGCTCTATTTCATTTTCTATCTTTCGATGAGGTAAATTGTTGGGAATTGTCTTCTCATCTTCAGTGCAGGTGCTCGATGTGTCTTAATCGTCGTCGATGAGAACAGAATGGCTTTCGTTTTGATATACATGCCTCCGTTCTCGTACGGCATACTACGTTATTGGCGTGTTAGTGCAGTGTGTGTTGTGGGAATGGCTCCCGTCCTAGACGAAGACGAACCGTCGCGAGCCCAGGGTATGATTAGGAGCGGCCGCGTTGTCTGCATTGACGCGTTTCTGTGCTCATCACTGGGGAACGTCGCGCTGCGCAATCAGTCGCGGCCTCGCGCACCCTTCCTCCTCTCCCCGCATTCAGCCCCCGCCCCTGCGCGCCCAACCTTTGCGGCGCGGGCCTGTTTAATTGTTTTCCGAATGCACGCGACGCGGCCCGGGAGGGGAGGGGCGGAGCGACAGCTCTGCAGCCTCCGTGGATGACGGAGCGCGAGCCGCAGCGAGCGAACTTAATTGCCTTCAGCAAAAGTTAGCAGATCGACCCCGCACCGTCGCGCGCCACGCCCGCAGCCACTTCGCGGCTCGCCCTACTGGGGCGCGAGGACGGCGGCCGCGACGAGCTACCTTCTGCGCGGGAGGCGCCACTGCACCGCTTTAGGCATTTTCTGTGGTCGCGCTCCCACAGCCGGAGGTTCCATGCGCGCACGCCCCCTGCGATGCAAGCGATCGACGAGGCAGGCATTCACGCTTTGGGGCTGTTGTGTTGCCTAATCTGTATATAATCTTGATTCATTTCATTTTCAAAACGCATTTACGACGACCCTACTGTAAAGGGTGAGTGCGAGGATAACTGTATGAATGTTCTTTACGTTCCTTATTGGTCACCTCTGTTTCTCAAATTATTGTTTCATGTGTCTTTTGTTTCATTGTATTCACAATAGCTATTCCTTCTTTGATGGGAAATGTTGTTTGAACGCACTCATCCGTGCTTCTTCGACGATAGCTTAATCAAACTTGTTTTCCAGCTGACATCTACAGTAGTGGGAATGATCTGGAGGACACATAAAAACGAATAAACAAAAATAAGGCTATTTGAAAAACTTAGTTTCTAAGCAGATATACGAGGTTCCAGCAGTACAGTAGCTTGTTCTATTATACTTATTCCAGGTTTAGCTGTTTCTGTAGTATGGTTCTTAGGGATTAAAGTACAGCGCATTGTACTGAATGAAGAGAACAATTTTCACAATTTTCAAATGTCTAACTTGCAAGATTGACTCCCATGTCTTGAGCTTTTGCTCTGATCAATTCGTCTTCAAGAAGCTGACTAGAACAGCGAATCGCTTGGAGCTTTTTGTGTGTTGTTTAAAAGAGCCAACGGACTGGTGCCTTTATTTTATGCACAAATGAGCCCATTGTTTGACTTGCACAGACATAGCATTCTCTTATAACTGTGTCATATGGCTTCCTTTGTGCATGGGACGCGCTGGCACAGTCACCCGTTCAGATTTAAAAGACGCTCTTCTTTTACCGCACCCATTCTTTCTCGGCGCATTCCGTTCTTTGTTGTGCTTCTTTCTTAAGGCCAAACGTGTGCGCAGGCGAAGGGTGAGCTTTTCTCGTGTTGTGAACAAGAGCCAGTCGATGCACTTTGTGACCAAGGTTTGGCATCGTCTTTGGACGTCATGAGCTATATTTCCTTGATTTGGAATTTCGATACGAGGATAACTGTTTTTCCTCGAAACGTACCAAATGGTATTACCTATTTTCTCAGTTACGACAAACAATAGCGCTGTTTAGAGAAGATACGTTCATCTCTTTCTTGGTTTTTCTTTGAAGGTTTGAAAATCCAAATGAATGTATGAATGCATATGCTGTAAATGTTTTTATAATATTAAGATTGGTAGATTGCACATAGACCAAGTTCTCGAGGCGATGCGCAAGTAGTTTTAGAGTTCAAAGGAAAATTTTATAAGTTTTTGGAAATGTAATATGGAAATTTAATAAGTAAATTGAATCATTAAAATTAGGTAAAAAATAAAATATGGTATGCAATACGGTCGTTAGTTCTAATGATCTCGGAAAACACGAAGTCCTGGGGCCAAAGACCCTCGAAACTTTGTCGCCGCCGATCATTAGAATCCTTATAATGCGCTTGGTGCGTAAATAACTATTTCACGTCATCATTTGCGGGTTTTGTACCAATTCTCCTTATATCCAGCTCAATTGTTGAGTAACTCTCTTTGATAGTCTATTCTTTGATGCCATCTTGCGTTTTGCAGACATATTTAAACGATGTAGCTGCAGTACCTAAGTGTCTGTACTGATGTGCTTTAACCTAGGTGTTTCCAGTGCTTATCGCGCCAGTCTGATATCGAACTGTCCTTGTGAAGACGTTTAATAAGAGTCGTTCTCCTTGTTTCAGATGATCGCGGTAACCGCAACAGCTGGCCGAGCAGCCGCAACGACAACCGAGACAACCAGAACAACTCGCGATCGGGAGGCGG